ATTTCAGTTTGGGACTCTTGCTCTATGTGCTGCTAACCAAGCAGACACGTGTCAGCTCTGAGACCGTGACGCTGACTGGTTTTCTTCTATGTATTCCAGTTGTCCCCATGTCATTGCATGGACGCCTATGAGATGAAGTGCCTTCCTGCTGTGTCCCACTTGCAGCTCCCTGCCCAGTGACAGCGCCACAAGTGACGCCAAGGCCTTACTTTGTAATCCATGCCTTCGCCGCAGTTGGTTACAACGCAGAGCAAGCCCAGGGCTTTGGCCAGGTCCTTGGTGGTCTCAGTTTTTCCAGTACCTGCTGGGCCAGCAGGGGCCCCACCCAGATACATGGACAGCGCCTGTTATAAGCCAAATGCAAAACATATGCTGTCGGAGTCACGTCAAGACACAGGCGCCATCACCCATTTCAGCACTGTGACAACGTATGCATTACATATGGCAATGGGCAAGTTCACACCCACCTTTGCTGACGGTCACCGCTTTTAACATTTCTGTTTATCCACTACCTTCTACCGACCACCCCCTGCCCCCACCCAGTATGTAGGGACCAGTATGCTGGAAGCTGTGCCTACCCTGAGGCCAGGGCCCCAGTAGTTCCCAGAGCTGAGGCTCACGGGACACACCTGTGCTGTAAAAGAGTCATCTCTGCCTAAGAAAGGTCTGGCCCTTTGTCTCCAAAGCCTCGGAGCTGACCTCAAAGCCCCTGGAACATCCTGCCCAAGAAGAGTGTCCTTGTTTATCTGGGGACTTTGGGGCTATGCAGGACGAACTAATAATATGATTGATGGTGGCGGCCTTGGGCCACGTGGTATCAACCTGACTTCCAGGGAGGTTGGAGACTAAGGTTAGCCATACAGGAGGCCAGTAAGATGTACTTGACCAGTCCCCAGCTATACCCTGGGCACCAAGGCTTGGGTAAGCCTCGCTGGTGGCGATGCTGCCACACGGAGCCACCAGAAGAAACACACGCCCTGGGAGAGGAGGTGAAGCTTGGCCTGGTCACTCCCAGGCCCTGCCCTATGCATTTTCCTGTGGCTTTGATCTGCATCCTTTTGCTGTAATAAACCATAACCATGACCATAATGGCATTACTGAGTTCTGTGAGTCCTTGTAGTAAATTATTGAAGCTGAGGGTGGCTTTAGGGGCTGCCTGAACTTGCAACAGCCCAATCTCAAAAGGAGGCAATTACGTCATGTTCCAAATGGAAACTCCTTTACAGATTTGTAAAGAGTGACACCCCTTACTATCGGCATTAGTGTCCTGGGGCTGCCATGACAAATTACCAGACCGGTGGCTTAAAACAACAGAAATGTCTTCTTCCAGTGCTTGAGGACAGAGTCTTAAATCACGGTGTCGGCAGGACCACGCTCCTCCCAAAGGCACTAGGAAGGACCGTTCTTGGCTTCTGGTGGCTGTAGGCATTCCGTGGCATGTGGCCACATCACTCCAGTCCTGCCTCTGTCTTCACATCACTGTCCCTGTATCTCTGTGTCCTCTCCTCGTCTTACAAGGACATCAGTCTCTGGATTTAGGGCCCTAATCCAGGATGTGCTCCTCCCAATCCTTAACTAATTAACTCTATTTCAAAAGTTACACTCTGAGGTTCCAAGTGNAGAGTCTAAGGCTTGACTTGATTTCTGCTGGAATATTAGCATGCATTGAAGTCTTTGTAGTGAGAAGTCAGAAAACCTGTGACCCGTATAAAGATATCAATTCACTACAGAAACGTATGCGATTCTGCATTGGGAGTGTGTGAGGTCACTTTTTCCTTCACGCAGGGCTGGTGATGAGAAGGCATTTAGGGAGGTGACGCCCTCTCTTTCTGGCCGCTCTGACGTCATAACTGTGCTGCACAATGGGGGCTGTCCTGACATCCTTTAAGGGAGCGGCCTGAACGCCAAGAAAACACGACTCAACAAGCTCATTTTTTGAGGTATCTTTATAAGACAGTGTGCGGAATACTCGTTTCACAACTAAACTTACTCATAATCTGATGCCCAAGAGGGTCACTTGTTTTGCCTTCTAAAATGTGCGAAGCCAGCAACGAAGCAAGTAAAGATGCTCCGAGCTTAAAGGGGTGTTTAGGACAAAGTCACCCCACCAGGACATCAGAGAGCGAAGAGGAACGAAGTAACAAGGTAACGCTGCCCCAGCGTCGCTGCTCCACCCTGGGAGCCAGGCCCTCCCCTGCAGGTCATACTCACCTGGTCTGGGCCTGACACAGGGTGTTAATGACCACGGACTTGCCCCCGCCTGTTGGCCCCACCACCATTGTTGTGTGGCGGGTTAACATGGTCTCGAACATCTGAACCACTTTGTCCACCTGCGGGATAAAATTCGCAGCTGGGTGAAAACACGTCTTTGTTGTTTTTTTTTATTAATAAAAACAGCTTCATTGAGCTATAAACTGCATACTACACAATTCATCCCCTGCAAGTCTATAATGAAATGATTTTTAGTGTGTCCCAAAGGTGGTGAAACCATTACCACATCCAATTTTAGAACATTTTCATCACCTTTCCCCCTCAAAAGCCCTGTATTCAGTCCTCTCCCCCAAGTTCACTCCCTCCAGCCCCCGCACCCACGAAGCTACTTCCTGTCTCTATGATTTGCCCATTCTCGACACATACATGGAATGATAGAAATGGGATCACACAACATGTGGCCTTTGTGCCTGGCCTCTCTCACTGAGCATCATGGTTTCAAGGCTCGCCCACGCTGTGGCGAGCGTCAGCGCTCCGTTCCTTTTCATGGCTGAGGGATATTCCACTGTGTGGATGAACCGTATTTTGTTCCGCTGATGGAGATTTTCATTGTGCCCACTTTTTGGCTCTTACGAATAACGGTGCTATGAACATTCGTGTACAAGTTTTTGCGTGGACATATGTTCGCATTTCTCTTGGGTAGATAGACACCTAGGAGCAGGACTGCCAGATCATATGGTAACTCTAAGTGTAACTTTCTAAGGACCCAGGCTGTTTTCCAGAGCAGCTGCACCGTTTTACNAGCCAAGGTCTCGAATGCTTTTGCAGTTCAGCTCCTTCCCACGGTCATATAAGTAGCCTTTTTCCAACAGCAGTTTCAGGAGGGCAATCGGCTGCTGTGTGCCGTATTCATCCACCTCAATTTTTTTTTAAAAGACAAAAAAAAAGAACAGGCATATCAGAAGGCAGCACGCATGCTGACATCTTTACTCTCTCAGGGCACTCTGGGTGCAGTTTCATAGAGCTTCTCAAAGTTTGCGATTATGTATTAATTTATAATTAGTTTTAAAAAATCTGTCTCCTTCGCTAGACTGTAAGCTCCATGAGGGCAGGGACTACATATGTTTTGCTTATCTCTGCACAGCATCAGTCCCATAGGAGGTGCTTAATAAATATGTTAATTGGATGGGTGGATATATGGATGGATGGATAAATAGGTGCGTGGATGAATGGATAGATGGATGGATGGACGGACGGATGGATAGATGGATGGGTGGATTCTGGCTTTGCACACAATCCATCGGGAAGATAGATTTTCAGCGAAAAAAAAAATGGTTCTGCAGAAATGATACCAATTCCAGTACTAAGAAAACTTTGCAACTCTCAGGCTCTGGCCACAGAAGGATACTCATTCCATGTGCTAAAGTTCCCCTCCTTTGGCAAGGCCAGAGGAATTCTTGGGAAATGTCTGCCCTCACATGTCCTGTGTATATGGGGGTGAGCACAGTGTTATCATCGAAAGAACAGCTCAACTTGGAAACCGCTTTACTCAAACCCATGCTGGATACAGTTCAGCGGCTGCCTGCCTCCCTCTTTTAAGAAGCCGAGGAACACAGCCAGTATAGGCAGAAGTCCCTCTGTCTACGAAGAGCATCCGGCAACCTCGTGTCCTAAGCTGGCTCCCATAGCCCGTGCCCTGCAGACGTTACGCAGAACGGGTGGGTAGGTGCTCTCACACACACTCGCTCCACACACCCAGCGACACGTCCAAGCACACACGCCGTCCCACCCCTCCCCCTACCTTTGGCATGTTCATATCATCCATGAAGACCAGGAGGCGTTTCCCCATGGAGGGGCCGTAAGTGTCTTTGGTTCGTTTTTCCACATTTGCTTCTAGATTTCGTTGGATATCCAGGGACGTGGTGCGGGAGGAGAAATAGACTGTTAACACAATCTGAAACAGAGGCCATTCAGAAAGTTGGTCTTTTCTTCACAGTATCAGCAGTAAATGTTTCACCATGAGCTATAGCATCTCTTTTACAAATTTACTGGCATCCAAACTAACTTTCTCATAAGCCAATGTGTCTGTACTCCATTCCTTTTTCAGTATGAAAGAATTCCCCTCTCCTGGCAGGCTGTATGAGGCCATAACGAGTTGCCATGTGTGGCCCTTGGGGACAATGTGAAATGGGGGGTCTTGGCTCTGCACAGTTCTAGCTCAGTGATCTCCAAAAAGTCGTTTGACCTTTCAGAGCCTCATTCTTCTCATCTGTAGGATGATCTAATAACACCTACTTGGACTACTTCATAGGGTGATTCTATCCTAGGAGCTGAAATGGCAAGAGCATTTCAGTACAACAAAGCAATAGTCAAACATAAGCCCCTCTCATGCCCGCTGCGTCTTAATAAACAGACAGGTCAAAGAACGTGAACAACCTCTGGTTCCATCTTTGGAACTAACTGCTGAGGGAGAGGTGAGGGAGGCCCCGTGTCCCCGTGTAGGGAGCCTGTCCTCCCTCAGGCACAGGCACTCAGGGCCTCTCCCTGTGCTCCCAGAGCGCCTGTGCGGGTTCATCCATCAGCGAGTCTCACGCTTAATGTGTCTGGACTGCCTGCAGCATAATGGGCCCGTCCCTTGAGTTTCCGCCGCAGGAGATCTGGGGTATTAATACAATAGTTTAACTGAGCTTTTCAGGTAATGCTGCTGGTCTGCGAACCACTGCCTTGGAGAATACCCTCCAACTAAGGCAGCCGCGAGTGCGCACGAGCTGAACAAGTGGCAGCTGAGTGTGCATGTCCCTGCAGGGAACGTGTCTGATGTGCCTTGCTGGGGCCATAGCACCAGCTGCCGAGTCCCAGGAGATGGGTGCTGGGGAGGAGACTTCTGAATGGGGCCTCCCTTTGCCTTACTCCACAAACTTGTAGGTTCCTCTAGCTGTAAACATCCCTTCTGTGCCCTCCACATGACGTCCTTACATCTAAATACACCTCGTTGGCATGTGCCAGTGTGTGAGTGAGCTTGACCTTCACAGGTGTCCGGCCAGTCCTCCTCGCATCCCTTCCCAGGCCCGTTGCAAAGCCTGCTGACACCCCCTGTGGCTCCATGCCGGGGTGGTTTGTTACGCAGCACTTGATCACGAATACAAACACTCCTTACGTTCGTCTCTTTGTTCAGGTGTTTGAGGAAGTTCTGCGTAGTGGCTGTCTTCGAGGTGCCAGATTCACCAACCAAGATAACAGGCTGTTTAATCTTCACCATCTGTTCCAGCACCCAGGCAGTGCGGGTCGTGTCCACTGTGTGAACTAGGAAACATACGAAGGACAGGAGTGTCACAGACACGCCAAACGGTGAGCGTTCAGCAACTTGGAGTTTCACAGAATCTCATACATCCCGTAAAAAGTGTCAGCAAAAACCTAAGATGTGACCTTGAAATTGTATAGATGGGTGAAACCTTCTTCTTAGAAGCGCACTTCCCCAGCCATTGCTTTTAATAGCTTTATGGAGTTATACCTCATATACTGTAAGCTCCACCATTCTAAAGGTGTGATTTCATGAGGTTAATACATGTCTCCAGCTGTGTGATCGCCACCACAGTCCAGGTTTAGAACACCCAAACTGCGTTAAAACCCAGTTCTGACTCGAACTCAGGATATTAAAAACTGATCCTCTCAACTGCTTGTATCCCTCATATCAGCAGAATCTGCTTTCCTGACCAACAACTTCCTCTGAAGAGAAATACAGCCTCAGATGTGGGTCTGGCTCACTCCTACATGGGCAGTGTTTAATTCTGATCCGTTCCTGAGAAAATAGGTATGCCTCATTTGGTAAGAACGCTAAGAACCAAACTCGGATACATTAATACCTTGGTTTGCGAGCATAATTTGTTCCGGAAACAAACTACTCGTATTGCAAGACATCACTCGTTTACCATTTAAAATGTATTAGAAATGTTTGCTTGTCTTGTGGAACACTTGCAAACCACGTTACTTGCAATCCAAGGTTTTACTGTATTTGTTTTGTGAAAATATCCAGCCTCTACATTCCTATTTCTCCTGTGCAGGATCAAAATGAGAGTTAGACAAGGTTGGAAGGTGACCTGCGGTAAACAATGGTCTATTTCGCTCCAATCGTAGACATGGAAATACAGACTCCACCTGGCACGTGCTTGATATGAACTAATGCCACTTGTTCCCTGATCTAAACAGTCAGAGGAATGCATTCAAAATATGGCTCAATATACAAATGCCTGCGGCACACGATTTTTCAAGGCAGCACCTCTTATAAACCAAACGCTGGCTGGTTTGCTCCTCTTTCATTGCCTCCCACAGCCAGCCAGCAACATGGGCTGAAGGGAGCCCATGGACGTGTGAGGGGGAGCAGAGCAGCACCCACTCCGCCCCGCCCCGCCTGTCAGAATCGGCCTGCCTGAGGGGGAAGATGAGAGTCCCAGATGTCTGGAGATGCTCAGAGCTGGCAGCACATAAAAGGAATCGAAAGTGCCACCCTCTTGGCAAGGCCAAGGGCTCTCTCTCCTCAGTTTCTCCCAACCAGCCGTCTGGCGGGGACTCAGGGTGCCACAGAGACCACAGGATCTTTTTCATTTCTTCACGGAATGAGAACCACACACTCTTAAACCAAGGAAAAAGGGCTTTTGGCTCTCCCTTACCCAGGATGTCATTAAATTTCCTCTCATGGACGTGAACATACTCGGGGACTAATTTATTCCACGGTATCCATTTCTTCTGCGCGGGATCAAAATGGAAGTCATACAAGGTTGGAAGGTGACCTGCAGTAAACAATGGTCTATTTTGCTTTGATCGGAGACATGGAAATACAGAATCAGCTCTGGCACATGCTTGAAATGAACGAACGCTATTTGTTCCCTGGACAGCAACTTAACTGAGTACTCGGAACTAATACTACTCATTCACTAGACAGGTACTTACTGGGTACTTTCATCCAAATACCGCTTATTCACTGGCAGATATGTACTGGGTTATTTTGGATGGACGCTACCCACCCCTGTCCACTGGACAGAGACCGACTGTCTAGAAATGCAACGGTGGGCAGACAGCCCTGGTCCCTAGGCTTCCAGTTGTTGGTGGGCTGGGTAGGGGTAGACAGAGACAAGCCAACAGGCAGTGTCAACGCCGAGTGCCAAGTTCTATGACAGGGGAGTACAGGTGGTACCGGCGCCCCATGGGGGCATCTCACCACGATGGGGCAGGGGAGAGGCTGAGAAGCACCAGGGGCCACAGGGAGCGTGGGGAAGCACAGACCTCCCCTCCCCCACACCAATCACAGGGGTGCTATGCAAGCCCAGCTTTAAGAGAAGTTCCCTCACACACCTCTGCCCCAGGCAGAGTGCCACCCGCAGGTGCCTAAGCTAGGGGGCACAAGTTTAGATTCATCAAGAAAGGCCATCCAAAGGGATTGAGCATTTGCTAGGGCAGTTCATGCANGTATCCTGTTCGTTGTGCTGGTTACTCTACACGTGCTGAAATGTCACAGAACTATACACACACACATCAGAGAGAGAGAGAGAGACGGCCAAACCTGGGGGAGTCCAAAGCAAGTGTACCTGAGTTAACAGCACACGCTGCGTCAGTTTCCCGGTTCTGACAACGTGCTGTGGGCAGGCGTGTAAGATCTTATTTCTGAGGGAAGCTAGGTGAGGGGTACATGGGGACCCTGCACTATTGTTGCCACTGCTTGTGAGTCAAATTATTCCGAAACCAAAGTTATGGTTTTAAAGAGAGAGACAAAGCAGGAAACTTATGAAGCCACACAGACAGGCATGTCCCGAAGCCCGAGGCTGAGGCAGACGCAGGGAGGGGCTTGGGGCGCCCTGCGGCCCCAGTGAGGCCTCACCTTGGCCCAGAGGAAGCCCTCGGAGAAGAGCATGATCTCGCAGATCTGCTGCAGGTCGGGCACAATCACCACCACCGGCCTGAAGAGCGCCTTCACCGACTCGGGCAGCTCCGTGCGGCCCGCGTAGCCAGGGTTCATGGTGATGAAGATGCCCATTCGCGGGTCCAGTGAGATCTCATGCCCTTCAAACTAGAGGGCGACAGGAAAGAGGGGGCTCAGGCTGCCGGCCCAGCCGCCGCAGGGGAAGGGAGGCTTGGGTGAGCCGTGAGGCCATCCATTTTCATGGGTGTGAGGTGGTCCTTGTTCTTACGGCCTGAGCGTTCTGGGGGGCAAGCCTAGACTAACCCCCAAACTCTGATATGAATCAGGGTCTCTCCACTTGAGAAGCAGCTGGTGTTGGGAAAGAGTGCAGCCTGGGGCTGATTCGAGGTGTTGTGTGACCCCCAACAGGTCGCTGAACCTCTCTGAGGCTCAGTCTCCTTTTCCGCAAGGTTGTGGAGATCCAATGAGACAACACATGTGAGCGTACCCAGCCCGTGCACAATGCATGGATTTTCATTCATGGGAGGCTGTCACCCTTTCCCCNTCCAGCTGGGGAACTCGGTCTAGCCTCCCCCATGCCTGTGGGACGTCTTTTCCCAGGGTTTCCTAGCCAGGCCCTGAGACAGGGTTCCTAGCTTGGTCCAGAGGTTTGACCCATAAAAGAAAAAAGAAAAATACACGAAAACCATTTGAGTTAGTCACCAACATTTGAGAATTAGGAAACATCCCACAAAAATCTGGATTGCTTGCTTCTCTGGCAAACTGGAAGGTCTGACCGCACAGACCTGCTTTTGGGCATGGGAACAGTGAGCTGAAGCTGACAGCAGCTGCCCCTGGGGGCAGTCCACCCCATTCTTTTCTTAAATCTGAGACTGAGCATCAACTGCTATTTATCCCTGGTTTTGATGCCTAGTTTCCTTATGGTCAAGTTAAGAGAAAAGAGAAGTGTTTCATATGCCCATGTATACTGGGTTGCATGGTAGGCCCCCCCCTCCCCAGAAGATGTGTCCATCCAAAACCTGTGAATGTGACCTTATTTGGGAAAAGGGTCTTTGCAGATGGAATTCAGAACCTTGAGATGAGATCATCCTGGATTACCCAGGGGGAGCCTCATCCACAAGTATCCTGACGGAGGGGACAGCATGTAAAGATGGAGGTCAAGACTGGAGTGATGCAGCCACAAGCCAAGGAGCCCCGGGGGCCGCCAGGACCTGGAAGAAGCAGGAAGGACTTCCCCTAGAACCTGCAGAGGGAGCAGCCCCATCTTTACTTCAGACTTCTGGCCTCTACAGCTGTGAGAGAATAAACCTCTGATGTTCTAAGCCACCCAGTTTGTGGTGATTCATTGCGGCCATCCTAAGGAAGTTAACCCGCCATGTAATGGGGCCCACTTCCATCACTGATGCCACCTGCTGGGCCCCTGGGGGTGTCTGGGTTCACAAGCCCTGGTTTACACACCATCTGCCCTGGCAGGTCTACTCTGGCTCCAAGGCCTCAGGTGTTCAAGCCACACGATGCTTCANGGTCAGTTCTGGTCATAAATCCCGGGACCCCCACCTCCCAGATGATGGGAACACATGACCCGCCATATTGGTTCAGACAGGGTCACGACAGGGAGCCTTGTGTCTTCCTTGTCAGTAACCTGGCATGTTGCAGTTTACCCATTAAAATAAAGGGTTCACCTTTAGGAAAGATGTGCTCTTTGCCAACAGGGACCCTCTCTTACCATATTGAGGTCTGTCTGAGGAACTATTGTCTTCAGCTTCTCTCCTTGTCGCCCGTCCACTATTCCTTCCACTATCACGTCAATGAGATAGGGCACATATTTCTCAAAGAGATTCTGCAAATCGCCTTGCTCCGCCTGTAGGAGAGCAGAATTCCAAAGCATCTTCAAGGGTTCCCTTATATACATGGGAGTCAGGGTAAAGCTTTTGTTATCAAAAGCAGGGGTGAGAAGCAGCTGATGAATGGTAAATTTGGCAGGTGAGTCAACTCCGATAGTGTTTTATGTTTGTAGAGAAATTTGGGTTTTATAATACTTTCATTTCATGTCACTGCCATAGAGTCTACCCCACCACCTGGGAGGGTGGTGGGATAACAGGTCCCATTTGACAGAAAGATGGCTGATTAGCTTAGAGTTCAAGTGCCATGGCCACAGTCATCAGCAAAGAATGCAAAGCAGTGGAAGGCCCCTCTCCCTTCCAGGCACTGATGGCCACCAGGGATTGCACGGGTCCTCAGACAGCTCTCTCCCCCAAATGATAGTGCCTCAAACGGTCCTCAAATGTTCCCTTGGGTCTTCTCTGGGGTAATGATGTCCTGACTTCCAATGCACCACCAGCCTAGTGGTCCTTCTAGAGATACACCCTGTGTCCCTTTAAGAATGTAGTCATGGTATCCTTGGTATGGTCAAGCCACAACCTTCACACAACTGTCACATCCATCTCTGTCCTTTTCAACGAAGCTTATTGCTAAGACAAGACACATCCCTGAGCAGCCATGTGACACATCACATGGTTTGGGGTCAACTGAAATCATCGGATCTCAATACATAGCAAGCTAGGTCCTTCATACACGGGCTTCATCCAACTGAGCAAAAGAGGAGGAGGTGGGCACCTCGTAGGGCAGCGGTTCTCAACCTTCCTAATGCCGTGACCCCTTAATACAGTTCCTCATGTTGTGGTGACCCCCAACCATAAAATTATTTTCGTTGCTNACACACCTGTCCACATGCCCACACATCTGCCTCTTGCTCCGCCTGTCTTCAATTCAAGGGCTTATAAGGCATCACGCTTTAAGCCAAGTGTTTCACTTGTTTCTTCATTTAACAAAAACAAAAAAGATGCTGGGTACTTAATTCATTTCATCAAATTCACTGCTAAGTCCTCTGTCTTAAAAGAATAAGAAAAGCTGTTGCTATGGGGGCACGTCTTAATGAGACCAAACAGACTCACCGCTCTGGGTTAGTGAGCAGGAGCCCGTTGAAAACCCGCGAGAGATCGCGAAGGTTAAAGATGTAGTGGAACTTGGACGGGGTGGGAGGCAGGTCCTGCACAATGTTCTTGTAAAGTGCCAATGTACAGCATGTCAACTTGTCACTCACAGCCACGATGCTCTCGTGAAACACCTAAAAAATGAAAAGACCCCTCCTATGTCTCCCAGTGGCTGAGCAGAGAAGCAAACTGTGGTCTCTCTGCAAAACAGAACCTTGTGCAGCCATGAAAAAGGATGAAGTGCTGACATGGGCTGCCAGATGGATGAACCCAGAAACATGATGCTGAGTGAGAGAACCCACATGTTGTAGGACTGTACTTAGGTGAAATGTCCAGAACAGGAAAATCCACAGAGACGGAGAGCAGACTGGTGATTGCCAAGGGCTGACGGATGGGGTGGAGTGAGTACTTTCATGGTGATAAAAATATTCTGGAACTAGACAGTGGTGATGGCCATACAACATTGCGAATGTACTTACTGCCACTGAATTGCATGCTTTAAAATGGTTACAATCACTAATCGTAGGTTATGTGAAGCATACCATAATTTTTTAAGAGGAGATAAAACAAAAATTAAAAGAGAAACCCATCACCTGATCTGCTTTCGCATGAACTGACATGTCAACATGATGTGAAATGAAAGCCCCAAAACAGCCCTCGGTTTGAGTTTTACTGGTGCAGACCTGCTTTGGAAGCGAATGCCTTAAGGTAGGGCATGAACATGCCAGGTGCCCAGTTACTGCTGATCACACCTGGCCATGCCACACCTTTACCTTTCCTGCCTGGCCCCTGAAAACTCTGACTATACCAGCCCCACTTCAGCCACGATCAGAAGGTCGTTATTTAAATGAATGGGTTCCATTTGCGGGGGCCAAATAAATCTTAATAATAACAGGATTGCTGGTATCTAGTGAGTGTCTGCTATGTGCTAGCCAGTGTGCCACGCACTTTACGTGCATTTTTCTCCTTTCATTCTCCTGAAACCTAGGGAGGTGGGTATCATCATTATCTCCATGTTCCGGATGAGAATGGAGTCTAGGGGAGCTTGCCCAAGGACCAGGATGGGGACTGACCCCAGAACCCAAGTCCCCTAGTTGATTTACTGCTGTTACTCAGTGTAACTCAGGGCCACATCATGACTTCCNTAGGTGTAGACCCACGAGAAACGAAAACATATGTCTTCACAGAAACTTGTACATGAATGTCCACAGCAGCACTATTCATGACAGCCAAAAAGTGGGAACAGCCCACGTGTCCATCAGTGGACAGATGGAGAAGCAAACATGGTCCATGCATACAACGGAACACGAATCAGCCACAAAAAGGAACAAAGCACCAATACATGGACAGGGCCTGGAAACGCAATGCTCTCACTGAAGACACACACTCCATGACTCTACTCCTGAGTCCTGAACAGGAAAGTCGATACAGGCAGAAAGGAGGTTCGTGGTTTCTAAGGGCTGGGGGTGCAGGGAGATGGGGGTAATAGCTAAAAGGATTTCTTTTGGGGGTGATGAAAATGTTCTAAAATTGTCTATGGTGATAGCTGCACACATCTGTGAATACACCAAAAGTGTGGAATTGTACACTTTAAATGGGTGAACTGTATGGTCTGTGAATTATATTTCAATAAAGCTGGATTTTAAAAAGAGTTTCTAAGAATGGCCCGGGGCTGTTGGTGCTGCTTGTGCAGATATGGCAGCCGGGGTAGCTGCCGACTGCACGCTGGTCCACGGGGATCTGGGCCAGGCCCTTGTCCACATGCGTGCACATCACCAACCACAGGATTTGCTCGTGTTTGACTTTCAAACGTGGCATAGTCTCCATTCCAAAAAAATCACAAGAAGTAGATACTCCGGATACTCAGTTACAATAATATTGAGTCCCCCACACACACAAAGAAACCCCATTTTATACTATGTGGAAACATCGTGCTATGATGCTACAGGCTGCTCCAATGTTTGCATGAACTACCAACTGCAGGAGCTGGCATCTCCAACCTACTTCTGGGAAGGGAGATGGCCTCACCTCGTAGCCGGCTGTGAAGGCAGCCAGCCTGGCCAGAGACTGCTTCCCGGAGCCGCCGAGGCCCACCAGCAGGGCGTGGCCGCTGTCCAACCGGATGATGCGGTGCACGCGCGTCAGATGCTCCAGGGCGTCGTCAAAGAGAACCAGGTTCATCTTGATGTTGCTTTCATTGTACTCCTCAAGGATTTCCTGAATGGGAAAGAATTTCAGAGGGTCACTGGGTATCCAGAGACACTCTCTCCTTCTGTCCAGGAGGGCTTAAGAACGGAGGAGAGGTTTTTCTCAGTGTCTGTGGTCACTGAAATCAGTAAGTCATTTGGGTTGATGGGACACCCTGTTCAGCGTTCACCACCAAGACTTCCACCTGCTGGTTTGTGACTGGTCGGCAGCGAGCCAACGCTGATAGCAAGGCTCACCTAATGCATGATGAGGAGGACTATCAGAGAGTCGGGAGAGTGTCCCCAGACCTGACTGTGTACTGGAACCCAGGGCCCTCCATCAGNAACCATAAAATTATTTTCGTTGCTACTCTATAACTGTAATTTTGCTACTGTTATGAATCATAATGTAAATATATTTTTGTTTTCCGATGGTCTTAGGCGATCCCTGTGAAAGGGTCGTTCGACCCCCAAAGGGGTCGCAACCCACAGGTTGAGAACAGCTGTCGTAGGGACAAGTCTCTCAATAGCTGGGGTTGGCTGGACCAGGGTTGCCCACTACAACCTGTAAGCCAAATCTGGCCAGCCACCTGTGCTCCTTATAAAGTTTTATTGGTACATAGCTACGCCCATTCATGTACTGTGGCTGATTTCATGCCACAATGGCAGAGTTGAGTACTTACAAAAGAAACCACATGGTCCACCAAGTCTACAATATTTACTCTCCACCCAATTTTACAAGAAAAATTCATCACCCCCTGCTCTAGGCTATCAAAATCCCACTGGCTGTGAATTATCTGGAAATCTAATAAGTGTGTCTTCCATGTTTCCATTCAATTTATTGATTAACATTAAAAGCTCAAGGTCATGGGCAGGTCAAGGTCAAGGACACGGCCTTCAACTACCAACATCCCTCTGGGTTATGTCTATCCAACTAGCCACTGATGCTAGTAACTTTAAGTTCATTTTAGAAATCACTTTCACCTTGTTTTGTATTTGATTAACCCATTTTTTCCAGTATGGTTGATATTTCAAGTTTTTAGGATCCACATACACCATTCCACATCGAGACACAGTTGCGGGGGAAGCATACTGTAAATCCCCAACCTGGAGAAATAAAGAAAATCAGTCATGTCTAGAGCTATAAACAACTGGACTATATGTTTAAAAGCTTTTGCTTGTGCAGTTTTTACAACTGCATAAAACCCAGGTCATACCCAGATTAACACAGCTGTCATGAGGCTTCTAATTGAACACGTAGGTCCATCATGAAAAATTATACATCTCAGATGTTGCACTTTTTACTTTTCTATTACTATAAAATTAAGGTGACATTAATATGCTGTAGAATAGCTCACAAAAATAGAAAGGCATAAAGAGGAACATAAGCTATCCAAATCCCACCACCAAGAAACAAACATTGTTTTGGAGTGTCATCCTTTCGGTCTTTTTTTTTTTTTTTAACACGGTTGAAATTGCAAATATAAAACATAATAAGTAAGTGTCTAAACCAGAAGTATGACCATGGCTATCTCTCTTTCCAAGAAAAAAAAGGCACAGTTCAGCCAGCCAGTGAGGTAATGATGTGCACGAACACTCCTGCATCGACAGTTTTGCAGGTCAAGTCAGAATGGCATAAACATCAAGCTAAAGTGAAAGCAAGTCTCAGGCCCCCAGCTGTGAAGCAGGTTCAGGGGCTATGACAGAAAGTTTGAAAAAACAAAAACAAATAAAGATAAGATAAAGACAAATAGTATGAGAGAAA